GTTCAGATGCATACCCGAGATCTCCAACCTAGATAAGAAATTTTAGTGTTGGACTTAATAAGGGACAATATGCAGAGATTCTCTCAGTAATGATTCTTTAGGGAACATACGGTATCCGCATAGATGACACTTGCTCCGCCACCAGCTACCATTGTCCAAATGCGTCCCTTGGGGTTCAGAACGGTAAACTTCAAAGACGCACTTGTCTGCAACCACGATAGGTGCATATTAAAGAAAGCTTTTTACTAGTCACAGAAAGCAGACAGCCGTTTTGATTATATTAATGTCACGAAGATAATACCTTCTCATCCAGTCCATGGATAAAGCTTTCTGTGGCACTCATCACTCTTCCAAATGGCATAGGAAATTCAATGTCGCCCCATCTGTAAGTTTAAAGGATAAATCATGTAAACCTTCTCGAAGTTGTTAAGCTCAAAGAATTGGGAAATCCAGGGTGAAACTTACTTTTTAAAGTTTTTGAAGGCGGCAGTATCATCAAGCTCACCCCTCATATCCAGAGGATAAGGACTTCCATCAACTAGAGTGAAAGGATTCATCTCCAAGAAAGTGAAATCAAGATCTAACACACCAAAAGAAACGCCAAAAATGATTAGTTCTTATCACAGTAAAGGGGATTTTGATTTGTGTACATGTAGGTTCAGCTATTCTTGGCATACCTTGGAATAGGGTGAAAATGACTTTGATAAATTCTTCAATTTCAGCTTTGATCTGTACATGGAAATGTTACAAGTCTAAGTCACGAGTCTAATTTCTAAGTTATGTTCACAAATGACAACCCTATAATCCAATTAAAAAGAGTCGTTTACCTCTAAGGGAAGAGTTGCCACAAGAGGTGCACATACTTCAGGTGTCAGGGAAGCACCTGTTGGTAAAAATATTGTCTTGACCTGCAGAAATTGGAGCCTCAGCACAAGTTTTCATCTTTATGATGCAAGATACTGAAATAGACACAAAGACATTATATTTGAACAAAAATCTCTTACAAAATACCTTGTCCCAGTTCTCCTCGATCTCAATTCCTCCACACTCTGAAAAGCTTATGCTGCACCCAAGCCGATCCGAGACAACATTAAGATAAAACTCTTCATTGTGTGGAACAAATGGCTCAACTATGAATGTTGTTATGGGTCCTTTGCATCCACTCATCTCTACCTACAGATGATAGATAGAAAGGTTGAGTCAACATGGTCTCAGAAAAGAATGGCTTTTAGAAGCGCAAAACAAAAACGTTACCTCTTTGCCCAAACGGTCTTTCACAAAAGTGGCAACATCAGCAAAATCTAATTTCAAGGCAACCAAACCACTCTTCCCACGCTTTCCAAACAACATGTCAGGTTTCACCACCAGCTTCTCAGAAGAGAGCCAAGGTTCCTTTTCAACTAGCTCATTTAGATCAGTTGTTTCATTAATCTACACACAGGAGAAATAAATAAAAAAAGGTTACATGAAGCTTTATGAAAACAACATAGATCCAAAAAGAGATACTTATGCAATCACCATTATTCATAAATGATGAGTTGGAGAAAAGCTAGAGTCTAGACCACACAACATCATCATATGCCTAATGTCGGAGAAACCAATGCAACAATGTAACCACAAAACATCATCTGCCTAATGTCGGAGAAACCAATGTCCTTTTACCAGAAGCTATATAAAAAGGGCAAGATCCAAGGAAACAGATTTAAACCTGAACGGATCTGATAGGAAGCTCTTTGCCAGAAAGCCTTTTGAAGTGTTCCTTCACCAATCTCTTTGAATCATACTCTCTAATCTTCTTCCTCGCCATTTCAAAACGAAAACTGGAGAAAACAACAAAGAGAAAACAAAATCAAAATCACAGATCCAGAGACTGATAAACACAAATCAAACGCGAAAAAAAAAAAAAAAAAACTCATTTCCCAATCAAATCCGCTAACGATTCAATTCCAAAATGAGAGACGAGAGAGAGATGGTTTCAGCGAAATTACGCAATGAGATGTGATTATACACGAACAAAGTCTAAAATCTCCAAAGATTGAAAAGAGAAGAAACAGAGATCGGTGAAAATGGCGGATCTTTACCGTTGATAGAGAATGGTGTAGCTTCACAGGTTGGGTAGTTAGCTCACCAACACGACTCTTCTTTGCCTTCTAATCTTAAGGACCGAATCTCTTACTAATAAAAGATGCTCATTGAGACCTCTCGATGTATCCACATCAGCATTTTTAAAAATCACTCTCAAGACTCCACGTCAGCATAATTCTTTCTTCGGCAAGTATATTGGTTTCGGTTTTGGTTGCTAATTAAGAACTCTAAAAATGTGATGCCATGTCACCAGAACAGTGCCACGTGGTATTCTTTAAACAAAGGTAGGAGGAAGAAAAAGTTTTCGGCTTCTTCTTTTCGTAACCTAATTGTATTGTCTCTTCGTCTTCTTGCTTGCAAACAAATGCATCTACTTCTTAACCCTTCGATTTCTATGTTTTCCGTTTGTGCAGGACTTATATATATAGATGGAACGAGAGATGTTGATCTCCAAAAAAAAACGATGAGAAAGTGGTCATGTTGGTCGAGCGTGAGACGATGGTGTTATGGAACTCTCTACGAGGTCATATGCGACATGGGTCTGCGGCTCTTAGTCGGCCAAATATGATTCGAACAAAGGTTCACTCTTTTAATTAAATCCATTATTTGATCTTTCCCGTAGGTTTCTCGGTTTTAAACCCTTGCGTTTCTCAGTTTAAAACCCTTGCATATTGTAAATTTTCTATTAGAGTAAAGATAGGATTTCGTCGTTTCGACGTTGTCATATCTCTGATTACGGTTTGGATTGATAGCTAATTTTGTACTAGAAATCGAATACCATAAAAAAAAAAAACTTCCAACTAAAACTAATTATGTAGATCTTAAAGACATGTTTTGCATTCTCATATAGTGATTTGATGCACATGCTTTAGAGATTTGGTGCTGCAATTCTACTAAGAACAAAGAGAATGAAAACCAAGAGTGTTCTGCAGTTCAGAGTATTGAAAACCTTGAGGAATATGTTCCTGTGAAGACCCGGTCATCGTTTTTGGAATAAGAAGGTTTGTTCCTTCTTTCTCAAACATGTTTTCTCAAGCTTTCTCTAATTGCTCCCTATTAAGAGTTATTGTACGATTACTAGAAAAGAGATGCAAGCTATAGGTTGCGTTTCTAATCATCTTTAAATAGACAAACTACCTAGATTTAATACTAACGCCAAACGTCTAGACTTTTGTCAATTACCTCAATTTTGTTTCCCACATCTCCTTGATATTAAACCATACCAACGCTTCCTAGAATAACCATTACAACATATGCAAGCTAAGTGTTGGTGGAGTAAAGAGACATGAAAAGCCTTTGGTGGAGTAAGTCATGGAAGCCTCAGAGTGAAGAATGTATCCATGGTTCATTTCTTTGTCTTTAATGGTTTATGAAGCACCCACCTTTTAATTATGTCGATAACCCATAGGGAGTAACTTATGTTCATGTGTCATTAAGAGAGAAGGGTGTGTACTCTCAGTAATTTTCTCAAAATTTTGCCCTCCTCATTATTTCACTAACGTTTTTTCTGTTTGCTGCAGGTAAATGAAGCAAGTGGAGAAACCATTTCATGTACATTTTTTCTAAAAATACCCATTGATGCCTTGCTTAACATTGGTGTTGGCCATCTTCACGAAGAAACTGGGTTGTCACAAGGATTCTTGGATGGCTCTTTGTATGCAACTGTATTGAAGGTGGAACTTCCTCTACCAGATTTGACCGTGTCCTTTTGTGGTTATATGATGTTTGATCACTGACCCTATTACTCCTTATTTATCAACAACTCTCAACGGCTTAAAGGATCAACTTCATTGTTTTTAGTTTTGTTTAAAAATGAGTTTTATTGTTATTTCTTCATACATGATAGTAAACTTATAAACCCAAATACAAGATGTGAGTTCTGCTTTATGACTATTACTTTTTTAACTTTATGCTCTATATATGGAGTGTTGTGAGTTATGTTTCAGTAGAAAATATGGTTCATTACTCTTAAATTTTGTAATCTCATGCCAAAAACAGCAAATGTAATTTTATCTTGGAACGCGAAAATTGTTGGTCGAGTTGGTGGTGGATTGTGTGACACTGGTTGTAGAAAACCTCATCATGATGACGTGGGATTGGGCTCTTGCTCGGCCAGAATTCGTTTTCAATTGAAGTCGGAACTAAAGGTTGGTTCATCTCTAATCTTCTGAATGAAACTCTCTATTCCTTTGTTTTCTAGAGCTCTTCTCACTAGAGTTTTATCCGGGATATTCAGAAGTTAATGTTATCTATCTCTTTGATTTGAAAAAGCTTCAGAAATTGATAAAATTAATCAACTTATTGTGGAAGATAGCTCCTTAATATGAATTCATGTCACTCTCATATAAAAAAATAAAGTTGGTCGTACACAAACTAAAACATAAGTCGCTACGCGTGGGATTGCCCCTAGTTTACCATTTATAGTTGCAACTTACAAAATCATCCTTTCCCTCATTTAGTATTGTTAAAAAACTTTATTATAGCGTAATAATACCAAAAAATCATATACATATGCATATAATTTAATGTTTTTTTTTCAAATCTTAATATATACTTTTTATGATTTAACAAATAATTGCAAGACTTTGCAGCTACGCATCTTTGAAAAAAGCTGGTGGATGTTCAATTGTTCATTCAATTTTAGAGTATGCCACCTAACTTGTAAATGAACGTCTTAACATCAACCATTCCATTTGTGTCACATATGATATATAACCAACTTTTGTTTTTAAAGAAAAAATATTTATTAATTTCTCATAACTTATTTTGTCGCATCTTTACAAGTTACAACAATTGTATTATTTTGAGATCCCTTGCCTTACTCTTTCTTTCTCCTGGCTAGCCTCTTATCCACAAAGAGGGTTTGACTTTCTCTTACTTTCTGATTGACTCTGACTTTGACCATGACCATTGTCTCTTCATGTGTGTTATTATTCTCTAGTGAACAAGAATCTCAAAAAATAGAAGATGAAAACTGAATTCGGGCAAACCAAAACTATTACGAGTTGTGACGCTGCAGCAAGTGATTCTTCAGCTTTATGATCAAAGCGAAGACCGCAAAGCACGGTATATGCATCACAGCCACTCCCAAGTACCTGCAGAAACATTAGTAAGAGATCACAACAATTGCCTCTTTTTCTTTATTGTTAAATTTGATTTTATTTGGAAACTTTACACGATAACATACTAAGTGTGAAGAGTTTATAAACGTACCATAAGGGTGCATATGGTGACGAAAGATCAAGAAATTGGTATGGCCACCTGCAAAACATGTATAACAAGATCCCTTAAAACTCTTAACAGGCACTGCGATTCTGTGTGTTAATCAGTAATTCAGTACAATGAGTTTAACATCTGGGGTCAAAATGATGGAAACTTTTGCTTCTATATGAAGATAAGAAAACAGAAGAAGTGTGTACCATAAGTTCTTGATGGCATGGATTATCCATTGGTAAGCTACAAAAATGCAGCTCCAAAGTACAAAGTAAGAGATCCGGAACAGAGGGTATCGCTGGATAAGGAAAAAATAAGATTGCCTTTAGATTCTAATAAAAAAGGTGGGAGATTCGTGTATCCGCAGACTTCAGTTTTGAAGACTTACCAAGGAATTGAGGCTTGTGTCACCAACGAGAAAAACAGCATTGAGAGAATGCATACAAACATCGAGCTGCAATCAAAGTAACACATGTAAGGTATTCATCGTCCACTTGTCGTATAGAGATTGCCAGAAAAGGTGATCATATCAAATGAATCCAGAATGGAAATCAAACGGTATTAGAGCCAGAACTTACAAAACTAAGCTTGTAACCTTTAGTAAACGGGTAGATTATCGCCCAAAATACGATATCTGTTAGCACAACAGCACCCGCACAAGTCTGTTCCAACAGAAAACTTCGTAAGTCCTTTTGAAGCTTTGAGATAGCATTGTACAGTCTTCACTCTCAACAAGATAATTCAGGAGAAAAAAGACACTTACTTGGAAAAGGATCTGAAAGGTATAAACCCAAAACCCCGCTGTTTCCCGGACGGGTGCTTCTGAATGTATATTGGATGATTTTGACGTATTTCCCTCCCCATCAAGGGCGATTGGTGGTCTATAAGTGCCTTGTTCCGTGTCACCTATACTTGTATAACTCTCCATGTTTCCACCAGCTTCTTTCTTGTAAATGCAGCATCCATAAATAGACAACACTGAAGCATACTACGAAAAAAATAGTATCACAGATTTAGTGTCTAAAACTAAGGTGGTAACCTCAACAACGGAATGTCCAAGAGATTTACCCCAAAGTAGAGTGTGACAAGAGTAAACGTCCACCTGTTTCAGAAAAAGTTTGAATATTTTTCATTCATTTCAAAGATTCAGAAATGTGAGAAAGAAGTTAAATGATCAAAACTCACTGAGTATAGAAGTAGAATATGCCGGCTCCATCTCGCACAACATTGGAAATGAGTAGAGTCAACATTGCAACAAATGAGAATACTCTAAAGGCAAGCAACCAAAGAGGGTGGATTCTTTTAAAACATGTGGTCCAAGCTTCATCTTGGAACAATGTCCAGGGTAATACTCGCTGGCTCTCGCGTTGTCTTCTTCTCTTGCCTTCATATTTCCAAATGAGAACAGCTGCTAAAACTAGTGGAGCTAAGAGGATTAATGCACAGAGGAGGACCCTCCAATTCAACCAGTAACTTGAAGCTGTGGTATCAGCAGCCATGGCCAGTCAATAGAGTCCTAAGATTCCACCAAAAGCAAAGAAGAAAATAATCACTAATAAACATATTGGTCAATCAATCATTCTCACACTTTTGTGTTGCAAAGAGTGAAAAAATGTCTCTGTAAGAATCTCAATTTTTTTTGGAATCTGAACTATTCAAAAGACTATAAAGATGGCGAAAAAGGTAAGACCTTTTTGCACTAGCGGACAAATATAATTGGAACAAGAACTTGCGATATAGAACCCACTTCAATTTTCATAAATTTAACGAATTTTTTCAAAATTTCCGACAAGCTATTGTATATAGTAAAAACAGAACAAAGAGAGAGATGAATCATAAAATACAGAAGATTACTTGGAGATTCGAAGACTATTTTGTTCCGATGATTCAGAGGAGACTCTCTTCTAACGCATCCTCTCAACGACTCGAAGATGCTGAGAGCCTCCAGGAAACCACAAAGAAACCAGAAGAAAAATAAAGGAAAGATCTTTGACGGGATTATAAGTTAGTTGGCAGAGGAGGAAGAGGAAGAAGATGGAAACTTTTGTCGTGCAGATTTTTATCCGATCTAAACGGAATCGCCACAAATCGTTATAATTTTTACAACCCCGGTCATGTTCGGTTTAAGATATGTATTTAATTTCCTCCGTATTTCTGTTGGTTCAACCAACCCACGCGACAAAAAGAAACCGAACAGGTGTGACCGCAAATCAATTGCTTCTTTTACTTTTCTTAAACCGGAGATAACCGGATTTTAATGTCTACTATTTTATTGCTCCATTGTGCAGTGTGCTTTTAGGACGAAAATGCTCCTATATCCAAATTTTGTGCAAGATGTTTACAAGAATATACTGAAATCCCACTTAGGAATTGTAGATCATTCAAATAAAATTTCCAAATTTCCAACATCTTTTCATATGCAAATCTTTGACTTCTTTTCGTCGCCATTTTTTTTTCCTCCCTAGCTTTGTTTGGATTATTTATCATGAATAACTAAATACAATCGTCAAATTTAAACTGTACTTATTTTTCCTAAAACGAAATCAAGTATTTTCGTTAAGGTTCATGCTCAAATTTAGTATTCAGATTCGGACCGGATTGGTCTTTTTCTTTGACGACCTTGTTGGTTTAGTCTTTGTGTAATAGTATAGTTTATAATTCAAGCGATCGTTATGGTTTAGTTCAAAATATATTTTTACACATTTGCTATATATAACAGCAATTGAATCGTACAAGCCTCTTATAATCCAGGGTTATCAATAAATAGACTGCATCTAAATAAGCAACCTTAAAACTAGTTTACACACGTGAGCTTATCTGCTTAATCATATAGTGGAACATTATGACATCAAAAGGACCACATATAACTAAAAGCAAGAGTATTTCATCTTAGGAATAGGTAATACATATGCTTAGGTGTATATATAAAGTTCAAGCTTTTCTCCTATATATCTAGCTACAAGCCTAAACCAAGTGATTCATTACATTCTTTTTGCAAACCTCGGCGATCTTCGGACACATCCGCCTGATCAAAATTCACGCCAAAAAAACTCTTCATCAAAATCGAATTAAACAACCTAATATCTTGATGTGTGGTCTATATGTTGACTGTTAAATTAAACTGAAATTTTTAACAATTAAAAGAACACATTTAATCCCACAGTATCTTACTTAAGAAGGGCCTAGGAGAGACGAAATGCCCATACGTTTCAAAGAAGTCCTTATTTTCTCTTTGAAGTCCTCTCCAAACTGCGGGAAAAAAAAACCACATATAAATTTTTGTGCAGCACACTTGACTAATAAGCCTGATATATAGCTGAAAAACTGCATAAATTAGTTCATAGACTGTTGTGAACTCAACAATATAAGATATCTCGAATATATAATGAACCTCCCCTCAATTTCTTCAACTGTTCCATATATATAATTATCATCACTTGACATAGCCATATTGAAACCTACGTCTAAATATCACTTTAATTCCTTTTAACGAAGCTTCCAAACAGTTCGGATATATTGATTTTGAGGAAACATAGGTTATATGTGTAACGTTGTAAAGAGTAGCTAACCAGTGAGCGTAACGAGTGGTAGAATGCTTGCGTGATGGTCTAACGCCTTGACGCATTCGTCACGAGTCATACGGAGTAGAATGCATCTCTCTATCATATGTTGAACCTAACAAAATCAACCACTAGTGGTGAGGATTGTTACACCAAATACAAAACGTATGAACTATATACAGTATGTGTATGTATATATATGTACCATGCGAATGTAAGAATGTGGTTGGCAATGGAGACAAGGGAGATTGTTGTGTTGTGATTCATCATGACGAGTACACATTTTCTTCTTCTTTCTCCTTTGATCTTCGCTCTTCTTCTTCTTGTTAGATCTCCAGTTGATTTGGGGCACAAATCCAAGAAATTTGGAAGTGAATTATGAGTTATAGCTGAAAGGAACAAAACATGAAGATATTTTCTGTGACAAAATTAGGAAGCTTCTAAATATAGATACACTTGTATATACATACGCAGATACACATGTGTGTATATTGGATAGTGTCATTTAATGAGTTATCCAAGAGAGATCCAAGTGAAGGGCTAAAAATAGAGGAGAGGATCCAAAGGATAGATTCTCTATCCCACACTTTTTCAACTTGATCACATTTTTATTTTTTTGGTTGGAACTAACTTGTCTTTTGACTATGACTTCACAGTTTACCTTTGTTTTTTTCTTACTTTCTGGGACATAGGTTCTCAACCAAACGTTAATTAGGGTTCTTTGTCTGTTTATTTAAACGGGCAAGTTAGAGGGGGATTACAAAGACTAATTACTGGATGAAAATAGTGTTTGCAGCTTTAATTTGGTTCAACTTCTTCTAAACCAAAAGAATTGATATTAAATTTTGAACCAATAATCCAATCAAAAACTTGAATTTCATTTATTTTTGGTCGGTCCTACGAAATTTTTGCAAGAAAACCAACACTAATATAAACCAAACCGGTTAAACAACATTTTCTCTTAAAACATGTTTTCTAGGTCATATAATTTCCTTAGAGCGGATCGAATAAACCGGTTATTTGGAATAGAGTACCAAGCCCCTCTCGATGAATGTCTGCCTTCAAACATATCACTAAAGTGACTGGTCCCTGGTATACCTTTTGAATTATGTGGCCAACCAAATGCCACTTGTATCATCAATACACGACAAAGTTTTGAGTATAGAGGCAACTTGAAAGTTAGACTATGAGGCTCTCCGCAAATTCAGAAGATTATAGTGTGGTTCTTGTGACTTGCGAGTCTGCGTGTGACTTCAATGGCCCCCGTAAGTCTACCTACCAGGTCTCAACTCTTGTGCAATTACAATAACAGCTCTCTGCTCTCTAATGTTACAGGAAAATTAATTAAGATTCTTTAAACAAATGCAATTTGGGTTTACATTATTGCCTAATTGAGCTTTCAAATGAAGTTGCCAGAGTTTTTTTTAATATCAATATAAGGGTTTTGTTTTGTGGTTGTGGACAAAAGTAATCGTTAAGACATGTCAATACTGAGTCATCATGATCGTCCACATCTTGAACAACCAAGTGGTTTCAGATACGGTTAGGGTACTAAAGCAAACAATGACACTACCGAAGAATAACTTACTTAGACCATCTGCATTGGGGGATCACCCCCCCTGATCTAAGCATTATTTAAATCCAAAAAAATGGGTTAATGGGCTTAAGATCAGGAACTGGGCTCTTGAGCTGGATCTGTTCTTGTGGGTGTTGCGGGGTGACGTGGCATTTGGGCATTGGTTGGAATATTCAACATATTTGGAATAAATTTGGATAATAAACTATGTATTAATTAGATAAAATGTTTTTGTGCTTTTATTAAGTAATATGTTTGTTTGTTTATTGTTATTTATATTTTTAATGTTTTTTTCATAAATATTTAGTATTGTATTTTCACTTTTATTTTCAGTTTTTCATAAATTTGGCATTTGCAATTTATATGTTATTTTAAATGTTTTAATAATTGTAAAATCTTAATTTAATTTAGATTATTATATTATTAAGTCTTAAGATCTTACACATGTTCTCCCACTAATCAACTTCTAAACAAAAGATCTAAACACATGATCTTACATTATTTTAACATTATATTCTCTATAAGAACACCCTCACATGATCCCCCATTGATGATGCCCTTACGCAGCATCACTAGATCACGTTAGTGGTTTGGTGCTATTAGTTGTTCTTCCAAATTTTGGATTTTATTCCAAAGCTGTAATAAAAAAAAGTCATACATTTAAAAACTAGTTAAGGCAGCTATAATTAATAAAAATCTTAGTATCCACATGAGTAGCATCAATATTTGCCTGCATGCAGCATTATTAGACTGAACCTAGAGAATATATAGAGCTTTTGAGCTTCATGCATCACATCAAAATCACAGTTTACCCACTCACAGCATGCAGAGGTTAAAACATTTCAGAGGCAAAATATCACAAGGATAAAAAGTGGACTATAAGATCTTTAATGCATATGAAGAACTGAACAAATCAAGATCAAACATATGGAAAGATTTTCTTAATTGTTTTAATAATATGGAGATGATATATAGTTATATACTGTACCACATGAAATTTATTAATAATGGAAACAAGGAGACTTAATAATACGAGGATTTGTCTCTTCCACTATGCAAGAATAGTACCGGTCTAGAGCTAGACGAAACACACATTTCTGTAAAGTCTCTCTGATTTTATTGACCGACACCAACTTCTTTACATACAACAAGAGTTGGAAGATCAACACATGGCCACATAAAACAAGGAACTCAAACTCGTACAAAGAAGGTGGCTCCTATGAATATATATTGGAAAGACCAATTCTTCCGTTAAATTGAAGCCAAATTTTATTTCTTTCACATATACCAAAAAATGCATGAGGGGCGTCTACTTTTCAGACTTGTCAAGCTGGATCGATCAGTTTAGCCGAAAGTCTCACAACCAATCATACAAAACATTTAATTTTGGTGGTTCAGGTTCAATTTCTTTGTTACATAATGTTCAACGGATCTTACATTCTATTAGACCGTCAATATTGAAATTAATACAAAAATTAGAGATTCTTCCAGTCTAGAGAATCGCTGTTAACAACTTGAAAGAAAAGCAAAGGTTATGCACTGGACAATGGACATAGTCAAAAGCTATAAACATAACAAATCTTCAACCAAATATTAATTGGATATCGTGTAACGTTACGAAGAAAAGAAAAAATAGTACACATAATAATAAATTGATTGCGTCTGTGTGGTTGCAACCACTAGAAAACCTTTTGCTTTTTCTTTTTCAAAAATTATATTCCCTCTTTTTATTTTGATAAATAAATATTCCTATTTTACAAAGCTTAACAAAATTTTACACTATTTATTATTGCAAAAAATTTCAAGTAAGTAAACTATATATAATTTACCTTCCGACAAATCTGGCGTGCGACGGTTTAGTCTGGTCCACGTTTCGAGAAAGTCACGGTAACTACTCTATGAGGCTTCTTCTCTTTTTATTTCCCCGCCAAAACTTACCCGCCATATTTGCCCAACGACCAGGCGCGTGGATCCCACTCGCAATAAACGGCTCCTTTTTCTATGATGCACACAACACATTGACTGAGATCACGGCGGACACGTTCTCGTTGATACCTTCCCCGTTACCGTCGCATGAATTCGAGTATGTAAATTCATGTTAAAAAGACGTGAATACCCCTAGGGTTAGTTGACCATCTCTCTTTCTTCTTCTTCGACTGTCATAATTCCCACACTGTGGAATCCGTGTCCTGCCTGACTTTGAATTTGACGTGAAACCATTATTCATTATTCATTATTATTATCTCCGTTCACATCTTTGCATATTTCATTATTTATTTTTTTGCATTATACTAGTATAAAATAGCAAATATGTGTTCTTTGCCCAAAAAAAAAGCAAATATGTGTTCGTCGTTCGTGGTATTGATTTAATCGGTGGAATATTTTAAATTATATATATCAATAACGTCTCTCGTGGTATTGACTTCCAGAGAATCCAATTTGAATTGTTCACATGTAACATCCTAGTTAAATTATAAAAATATTAAAAGAACTCAATGGTTTAATAATTTATATTTCGATACGTTTCGTTCAAAATGACTAATCTCTGTCGTACTTGATGATATTCGCTGTAAAAAAAAAAACCAAATCCTGCTTGATATGAAATGGTTCCAACTAGATACATGTGGAATCATGAAATGAGGTTTTTATACTAGAAACTTGCTGAAATTTAATCTTATTCCACATTTTTAATTTACCTTATTCTGTATTTATATTATTAATTTTTTTTGCTTTTAGTTTTAGTCAAAACAATTTTTTAAATTAACCTAAATTAGTAATTTTCTCAGGTCATTTAATTATTAACAATATTGGTGATAAACCCGTTTTAAAAAAAATATGATTTCACTATTTTTATTCAAAATATTCATCAATGTTTAGGTTTCGAAAAATGATTATGTTATATATAAGCATAAAAAAATTTCATGAATCTACTAAAACTTGTTGGCTAAAAGAGAAATTAACTTTTGTTTTCAATAACCAAAAAGAAATTAACTTAAATAAGTAATTGTATACGATCATGTAATTGATAACAATGTTGGTGATAAACACGTTTAAAAATATAATCTCTTCATTTTTATTCTAAATCTTCATCATACTTTTACATATCAAAAATAATGGTTGTATACCATATATGCATTAACAAAATAACTTCATGAATCTAGTAAAACTTGTTATGTAAACTGTTTTCAAAATTTGACTATTCATATCAGTATCCTAATATTACATCTCCAATTAATAGGTTTGATATAGTATGAGTCAAAGCTATAATTTGATGGGATTTAACAAAAAGAAGGAAACCTAAAAAAAAAAAGGAAGGTAATAATGAAAAGTTGGCGTAATGAAAGAGAGATACACAACTCACGAAAGAAAAGACGAGAAAGCACCACCAACGGTTCTTGTTTGGTGTTTACATTTACTATCAACCATTTTTTCTTTCTCAAGTTTTGAAGTTTCTTTTTTTTTATATTTTTGAATGATTCAAAAAAAAACTTATTAATAATTCATATCGAAAATCGCCAACCCAACTTCCCCCACTTCTTCCACCACTGTCCCGCTCCATCGCACCCGCTTTGCTTACCACATCCATCATTCATTCATTTTCTTTCTTCTTCTTCCGTTTCTTTTGCCTCTTTCTTTTGTCTTCTTCCTTCAATTTTTTGTGGCTTTAAATTTATTGGGTTTTGTTCTTCTTCTATAGCCGTTTCATCTTCACATAAGCATCTTCTTCTTTTTTTTTCCTGTCAAGATCCTGAATCATCGGTTCGTCTCTCTCGATTTCTTAACCCTCTTTTTTCTTAGAAAATAAATTATGGGCTATATAAAAAGTTTTTTTTTTCTTACTTGATTATGATTTTTGTTTTCCTATTATATATGCAGGATCTGGAAGGAAACTAGAGTTTGTGAAATCGGATGAATCTTTTGAGAAATCTCTGAATAAGGTATAATTTTTATTTTCCTCTTCTTCTTGTTATCATTTTTTTTTTGGAAAACTACAATATTTTTAGGGTTTTCTGTTTCTGGGTTATGATTTGTTCTTTGAACTTTTGTTATCTTTCCATGTTCTTATAGATTTGCCTTAAATCAGTATCAGTAAAGTTGCATATTTATATGGAACTTTGACTTTTGAACCAATCAATCAAATCTCTTTTGTTCCCCTGTTTATCAGGCAAAAAATTCATAGAAAATCTAATTTCTTTAGGTAAAAATGGTTATAATTCTCAATCAACCTCTCTTTAGATTTTGGTTTATTATATAGATTTAGCATCATATCTGTTTTTATGATCCAGCATTGTCTCGTTTTACTAATTCTCTGCTTTGTAACTCTTTTTGGTATTTGGAGTTCCAAATGTATATAGACAATGATTCATATTTTTGATTTGAGTATGTGTTAGATTATTTGCTTAAGACAGGTCAAATCTTGATTTGTCTCTTCTTCTTCCTTAGCTGCAGGTTTTATACTTTTGTTAGTACTCTAATTCAAACGAGAGAGTCAAATACATACTCGTCTATATAGCCCACATACGCATATTCATAATACTTTTGAGGAAGATGCTAAGTGGAAACAATGGAAACACTGTACCACCGGTTTTCATGAACGAGAGCCAGTTGCAATACCAGACAAACCTACCATCGAATCAGCTCCACTTGCTCGGAACCAGTAAGTTTCGGTTTCTCTCGTAATGTCTTTATCGCAAACTAAAACATCATTCACTCTGAGAAACTTAGAATCTTCTCTGTTTTTCTTTTTGTGCAGTGGGAGGTGGATGCACTGTTGATCCAGTGAACTACTTTGCTAATGATAATCTCGTTCCAATGATTCGGTCTAACAAAAGAGGAAGGGAAGCCGAAAGCATTAGTAACAACATCCAAAGACAACAGAAGCTTCAAATGTCTTTGAACTATAATCATAACAACATTAGTGTTCGAGAAGAAGTGCCTAAAGAGAATCTAGTATCAACTGGTCTTAGACTATCTTATGATGACGATGAACGCAACTCTTCAGTGACTTCTGCTAGTGGTAGCATCGTAGCTGCTTCTCCAATCTTTCAGTCACTCGATGACAGTCTTCGGATTGATCTCCATAGACAAAAAGATGAGCTTGACCAGTTCATCAAGATCCAGGTACTGATTGTCTCTGCATCTGCTCTGTTTTTGCGTGCAAAGGGTATTCGATTTGTAATGTTTTTGCTTGCTTTTATGTGGTTCAGGCAGCTCAAATGGCGAAAGGTGTGAGAGATATGAAACAGAGACATATCGCGTCTTTTCTCACTACATTAGAGAAAGGAGTGAGCAAGAAGCTTCAAGAGAAAGATCACGAGATCAATGACATGAACAAGAAGAATAAAGAGCTCGTGGAGCGGATAAAGCAAGTGGCAACGGAAGCTCAGAATTGGCACTACAGAGCAAAGTACAATGAGTCTGTGGTTAATGTCTTAAAGGCAAATCTCCAGCAAGCAATGTCACACAACAACAATGTGATTGCTGCCGCAGATCAAGGCAAAGAAGGGTTTGGAGACAGTGAAATAGATGATGCAGCTTCATCATACATTGATCCAAACAACAACAACAACAACATGGGGATTCATCAGAGGATGAGATGCAAAATGTGCAACGCGAAGGAAGTATCGGTGTTGCTCGTGCCATGTAGGCACTTGAGTTTGTGTAAAGAATGTGATGTATTCACTAAGATTTGTCCTGTATGCAAGTCTTTGAAAAGTTCTAGCGTTCAAGTCCACTTCTCTTGAATTTGTGACCAAAACTGGAACAAAAGAAAAGAAGGAAAAAGAGAATCCATTATATAAGTCTTTCAAACTCTTTTCAAAAGATATATTTTACTATATAAAATTATTTGTATCGGAGTATTATTTTGCATCTGTTTAGAAGTCTTGAAGAACCTAGAAATTTATGAAATGAAACATTCTTATGGCTGAACTTCCAATCTTTAATATCTTTTTTATTAACGTCCAAACATTTCATTAAAGTGACGTCTTAACAAAGGTTACAAAGATTTATAAATTTGAGAAAACGAAATTACAGTGTTTCCTTTAGGCACAAGCATTACTACTCGCTAATAAATTCATAATCTATATATAATAGCAATCTCAATAAATACCTAACGATTGTGTATTTTCGTCGCAACCTTTCGTTAAGTTTTTTTTTAAACTATAAAATATTATTATTTTTTTAAAAAGTTGCATCTATTCAATTTTTAACTATAAAAAATCTGAACTTATATGTCTTTCGTCGCAATCTTTCGTTATTTTTTTTTTAAATAGTTATAAAATATAATTTGTAGTTGGGTACTTGTGTTTTCTTCAAGTTGCATCTGTTTAGTTTTTAAATATAAAATATTTGAATTATTGTGTCTTATCGTCGCAACTTTTTCGTTAAGGTTTTTTTAATAATTATAAAATATAATTTATGGTTGTGTTTTCTTAAAGTTGCGTCTATTCAAATTTTAACTATAAATTATAAATTTTATGGTTTGTTATCTAGAAAATTGCATCTGTTCCGTGGTTGAAACGGTTCGTCAAATAAACTTTTTCATTTTACAATTGTGAAAAGTTGCATCTGTTCAATTTTTAACTATAAAGTATAAATTTTATGGTTTTGATTTGTTCAAAAGTTACAACAGTTCATTTTTAATAACTATAAAACATAATTTATGGTTATGTTTTTTTTTTAAGTTGCATCTGTTCAATTTTTAACTATATAATATAATCTTATGGTTTATGTTTAGAAAGTTGCATCTGTTCAAAGATTGCAACGGTTAATCAAATAAACCTTTTTATTTTACGGTTGTTGGCATTTTTTCGCTATATAGCATTCATATATATACTTTGTTACCTATATTATTATTTTTTTTTCCTAAATAACTATTACTTTTGGTTATTATTTAATTTTTTCCGAGGATTGTCTCTCTTTAACAACACAATTTAAAGTATTGCGTATTTTTTATCATAATGTTTTGTTGAATGTATTTTTAAAAACTTAAAAAGTACGTCTACTCATTATAATGATTAATTAAACTCTTTGATTAATATTTTTGTTTATGATCACATATTTTCACCATAATATTTTTTAATAATAAATCTTAGTAACTGCATCTGAAGGTTACGCTTAGTTTTCTACGTTTTTAAAATTTAACACTTGAAATAATTTTTAAAAACTAATAGTAAAATTAACATAGTTTTGGTTTAAGTGTTTAAGTGTTTTCTTAAAGTTGAAACCTTTATACTTATTTTAGTTTTCTTAAATTTTTCTTAAAGTTTAAACTTATTTTCTTGAAGTTTTAGTGTTTTATCTAAAATATCTAAAAATTTAACACATGAACTAATTTTTTAAAATTAATAGTAAAATTAACATAGTTTTGGTTTAAGTGTTTTCTTAAAGTTTAAACCTTTAAACATTTTTAGTTTTCTTAAAGTTTTCTTAAAGTTTAAACTTATTTTCTTAAAGTTTAAGATCTAAAAGATCTAAAATTTTAACACTTGAACTAATTTTTAAAAATTAATAGTAAAATTAAGGGAGACTCACAAAAATGCCCCTTTTTCAATACCCCTTTTCAAAAATGCCCCCTTTGGCTGTCCATTTTTAAAAATACCCCTTTTTATGTACAAAATGACTAAATTACCCTTCTTTTAATAAAATATATCACAAATATATAAGGAAATATAACAAAATTAGGTCCACAAAATACAAAATAGTTTTTGGCGGGAAAAGTGATCCCGCAATTTTTCCCGCCAAAACACTTGTAAAAACTTGTAAAACCTTTAAAATACCTTGTAAAATTTTCCCGCCAAAAAAATTTTCCCGCCAAAAATTTTTTTTTGCAGAAAAGTGATTCCGCAATTTTTTTGGCGTTAAATTTTTGGCGGGAAAATTTTTGGCGGGAAAAATTTACAAGGTATTTTAAAGGTTTTTTACAGGGTATTTATAAGGTTTTACAATGTATTTTAAAAGGTTTTACAACGTATTTATAAGGTATTTATAAGATATTATAAGATTTTACAAGCTATTTTATAAGGTTTTACAAGTTATAAGGTTTTACAAGTTTTTTATAAGGTTTTACAAGTTATAAATACCTTATAAAACCTTATAAGTACCTTGTAAAACCTTTTAAAATACATTGTAAAACCTTACAAAACACTTGTAAATACTCTGTAAAAAACCTTTAAAATACCTTGTAAACTTTTCCCGCCAAAAATTTTCTCGCCAAAAAAATTTCGCCAAAAAAATTGCGGAATCACTTTTCCTGCAAAAAATTTTTTTTGGCGGGAAAAATTTTTACAGGAAAATTTTACAAGGTATTTTAAAGGTTTTTACAAGTGTTTTGGCGGGAAAATTGCGGGAACACTTTTCCCGCCAAAAAATATTTTGTATTTTGTGGACCTAATTTTGTTTCAAATAAGGGTAAAATGGTCATTAAAAATTAAAAGAGTGCAAACTTAAAAATGTACTCTCAAATGGGGCATTTTTGAAAAGGGGTATTGAAAAAGGGGCATTTTTAACAATTTCTCTAAAATTAACATAGTTTTGGTTTAAGTGTTTAACTGTTTAAGTGTTTTCTTAAAGTTTTCTAAAAGTTTAAGTGTCTTATCTAAAATATCTAAAAATTTAACACTTGAACTAATTTTTAAAAATTAATAGTAAAATTAACATAGTTTTGGTTTAAGCGTTTAAGTGTTTTCTTAAAGTTTAAACCTTTATACTTATTTTAGTTTCTTAAAGTTTAAACTTATTTTCTTAAAGTTTAAGTGTTTTATCTAAAATATCTAAAATTTTAACAATTGAACTAATTTTTAAAAATTAATAGTAAAATTAACATAGTTTTGGTTTAAGTGTTTAAGTGTTTTCTTAAAGTTTAAACCTTTATACTTATTTTAGTTTTCTTAAAGTTTAAACTTATTTTCTTAAAGTTTAAATGTTTTATCTAAAATATCTAAAAATTTAACAATTGAACTAATTTTTTAAAATTAATAGTAAAATTAACATAGTTTTGGTTTAAGTGTTTAAGTGTTTTCTAAAAGTTTAAACCTTTATACTTATTTTAGTTTTCTAAAAGTTTTCTTAAAGTTTAAACTTCTTTTCTTAAATTTTAAGATCTAAAATATCTACAAATTTAACACTTGAACTAATTTTTAAAAAATTAATAGTAAAACTAACATAGTTTTGGTTTAAGTGTTTAAGTGTTTTCTTAAAGTATAAATCTTTATACTTATTTTAGTTTTCTTAAAGTTTTCTTAAAGTTTAAGTGTTTTATCTAAAATATCTAAAAATTTAACACTTGAACTAATTTTTTAAAATTAATAGTAAAATTAACATAGTTTTGGTTTAAGTGTTTAAGTGTTTTCTTAAAGTTTGAACCTTTATACTTATTTTAGTTTTCTTAAAATTTGAAGTTATTTTCTTAAAGTTTAAGTGTTTTATCTAAAATATCTAAAAATTTAACAATTTAACTAATTTTTAAAAATTAATAGTAAAATTAACATACTTTTGGTTTAAGTGTTTAAGTGTTTTCTTAAAGTTTTAACATAGCAAAATTAATAGTAAAATTAACATAGTTTTGGTTGAAGTTTTTAAGTGTTTTCTAAAAGTTTAAACCTTTATACTTATTTTAGTTTTCTTAAATTTTTCTTAAAGTTTAAACTTATTTTCTTAAATTTTAAGATCTAAAATATCTAAAATTTAACACTTGAAATAATTTTTAAAAATTAATAGTAAAATTAACATAATTTTGGTTTAAGTGTTTAAGTGTTTTCTTAAAGTTTAAATCTTTATACTTATTTTAGTTTTCTTAAAGTTTTCTTAAAATTTAAGTATTTTATCTAAAATATCTAAAAAGTTAACACTTGAACTAATTTTTAAAATTTAATAGTAAAATTAACATAGTTTTGGTTTAAGTGTTTAAGTGTTTTCTTAAAGTTTAAACCTTTATACTTATTTTAGTTTTCTGAAAGTTTCTTAAAGTTTAAACTTATTTTCTTAAAGTTTAAGTGTTTTATCTAAAATATCTAAAAATTTAACACTTGAACTAATTTTTAAAAATTAATAGTAAAATTAACATAGTTTTGGTTTAAGTGTTTAAGTGTTTTCTTAAAGTTTAAACCTTTATACTTATTTTAGTTTTCTTAAAGTTTTCTTAAAGTTTGAAGTTATTTTCTTAAAGTTTAAGTGTTTTATCTAAAATATCTAAAAAGTTAACACTTGAACTAATTTTTAAAAATTAATAGTAAAATTAACATAGTTTTGGTTTAAGTGTTTAAGTGTTTTCTTAAAGTTTAAACCTTTATACTTATTTTACTTTTCTTAAAACTTTTCTTAAAGTTTGAAGTTATTTTCTTAAAGTTTAAGTGTTTTATCTAAAATATCTAAAAATTTAAAACTTGAACTAATTTTTAAAAATTAATAGTAAAATTAACATAGTTTTGGTCTAAGTGTTTGAGTGTTTTCTTAAAGTTTAAACCTTAATACTTATTTTAGTTTTCTTAAAGTTTCTTAAAGTTTAAAATTATATTCTTAAAGTTTAAATGTTTTATCTAAAATATCTAAAAATTTAACACTTGAACTAATTTTTAAAAATTAATAGTAAAATTAACATAATTTTGGTTTAAGTGTTTAAGTGTTTTCTTAAAGTTTAAACCTTTATACTTATTTTAGTTTTCTTAAAGTATTCTTAAAGTTTACACTTATTTTCTTAAAGCTTAAGTGTTTTATCTAAAATAACTAAAAATTTAACACTTGAACTAATTTTTAAAATTTAATAGTAAAATTAACATAGTTTTGGTTTAAGTGTTTAAGTGTTTTCTTAAAGTTTAAACCTTTATACTTATTTTAGTTTTCTTAAAGTTTTTTAAAAGTTTAAACTTATTTTCTTAAAGTTTAAGTGTTTTATCTAAAATGTCTAAAATTTTAACACTTGAACTAATTTTTAAAAATTAATAGTAAAATTAACATAGTTTTGGTTTAAGAGTGTTTTATCTAAAATATCTAAAATTTTAACACTTGAACTAATTTTTAAAAATTAATAGTAAAATTAACATAGTTTTGGTTTAAGTGTTTGAGTGTTTTCTTAAAGTATAAACCTTTATACTTATTTTAGTTTTCTTAAAGTTTAAACTTATTTTCTTAAAGTTTAAGTGTTTTATCTAAAATATCTAAAAATTTAACACTTGAACTAATTTTTAAAAATTAATAGTAAAATTAGCATAGTTTTGGTTTAAGTGTTTAAGTGTTTTCTTTAAAGTTAAACCTTTATACTTATTTTAGTTTTCTTAAAGTTTTCTTAAAGTTTGAAGTTATTTTCTTAAAGTTTAAGTATTTTATCTAAAATATCTAAAAAGTTAACACTTGAACTAATTTTTAAAAATTAATAATAAAATTAACATAGTTTTGGTTTAAGTGTTTAAGTGTTTTCTTAAAGTTTAAACCTTTATACTTATTTTAGTTTTCTGAAAGTTTCTTAAAGTTTAAACTTATTTTCTTAAAGTTTAAGTGTTTTATCTAAAATATCTAAAAATTTAACACTTGAACTAATTTTTAAAAATTAATAGTAAAATTAACATAGTTTTGGTTTAAGTGTTTAAGTGTTTTCTTAAAGTTTAAACCTTTACACTTATTTTAGTTTTCTTAAAGTTTTCTTAAAGTTTGAAGTTATTTTCTTAAAGTTTAAAGGTTTTATCTAAAATATCTAAAAAGTTAACACTTGAACTAATTTTTAAAAATTAATAGTAAAATTAACATAGTTTTGGTTTAAGCGTTTTCTTAAAGTTTAAACCTTTATACTTATTTTACTTTTCTTAAAGTTTGAAGTTATTTTCTTAAAGTTTAAGTGTTTTTATCTAAAATATCTAAAAATTTAAAACTTGAACTAATTTTTAAAAATTAATAGTAAAATTAACATAGTTTTGGTCTAAGTGTTTGAGTGTTTTCTTAAAGTTTAAACCTTAATACTTATTTTAGTTTTCTTAAAGTTTCTTAAAGTTTAAAATTATATTCTTAAAGTTTAAATGTTTTATCTAAAATATCTAAAAATTTAACACTTGAACTAATTTTTAAAAATTAATAGTAAAATTAACATAATTTTGGTTTAAGTGTTTAAGTGTTTTCTTAAAGTTTAAACCTTTATACTTATTTTAGTTTTCTTAAAGTATTCTTAAAGTTTACACTTATTTTCTTAAAGCTTAAGTGTTTTATCTAAAATAACTAAAAATTTAACACTTGAACTAATTTTTAAAATTTAATAGTAAAATTAACATAGTTTTGGTTTAAGTGTTTAAGTGTTTTCTTAAAGTTTAAACCTTTATACTTATTTTAGTTTTCTTAAAGTTTTTTAAAAGTTTAAACTTATTTTCTTAAAGTTTAAGTGTTTTATCTAAAATGTCTAAAATTTTAACACTTGAACTAATTTTTAAAAATTAATAGTAAAATTAACATAGTTTTGGTTTAAGAGTGTTTTATCTAAAATATCTAAAATTTTAACACTTGAACTAATTTTTAAAAATTAATAGTAAAATTAACATAGTTTTGGTTTAAGTGTTTGAGTGTTTTCTTAAAGTATAAACCTTTATACTTATTTTAGTTTTCTTAAAGTTTAAACTTATTTTCTTAAAGTTTAAGTGTTTTATCTAAAATATCTAAAAATTTAACACTTGAACTAATTTTTAAAAATTAATAGTAAAATTAACATAGTTTTGGTTTAAGTGTTTAAGTGTTTTCTTTAAAGTTAAACCTTTATACTTATTTTAGTTTTCTTTAAAGTTTTCTTAAAGTTTGAAGTTATTTTCTTAAAGTTTAAGTGTTTTATCTAAAATATCTAAAAATTTAAAACTTGAACTAATTTTTAAAAATTAATAGTAAAATTAACATAGTTTTGGTCTAAGTGTTTGAGTGTTTTCTTAAAGTATAAACCTTAATACTTATTTTAGTTTTCTTAAAGTTTCTTAAAGTTTAAAATTATATTCTTAAAGTTTAAATGTTTTATCTAAAATATCTAAAAATTTAACACTTGAACTAATTTTTAAAAATTAATAGTAAAATTAACATAATTTTGGTTTAAGTGTTTAAGTGTTTTCTTAAAGTTTAAACCTTTATACTTATTTTAGTTTTCTTAAAGTATTCTTAAAGTTTACACTTATTTTCTTAAAGCTTAAGTGTTTTATCTAAAATAACTAAAAATTTAACACTTGAACTAATTTTTAAAATTTAATAGTAAAATTAACATAGTTTTGGTTTAAGTGTTTAAGTGTTTTCTTAAAGTTTAAACCTTTATACTTATTTTAGTTTTCTTAAAGTTTTTTAAAAGTTTAAACTTATTTTCTTAAAGTTTAAGTGTTTTATCTAAAATGTCTAAAATTTTAACACTTGAACTAATTTTTAAAAATTAATAGTAAAATTAACATAGTTTTGGTTTAAGAGTGTTTTATCTAAAATATCTAAAATTTTAACACTTGAACTAATTTTTAAAATTAATAGTAAAATTAACATAGTATTGGTTTAAGTGTTTGAGTGTTTTCTTAAAGTATAAACCTTTATACTTATTTTAGTTTTCTTAAAGTTTAAACTTATTTTCTTAAAGTTTAAGTGTTTTATCTAAAATATCTAAAAATTTAACACTTGAACTAATTTTTAAAAATTAATAGTAAAATTAACATAGTTTTGGTTTAAGTGTTTAAGTGTTTTCTTTAAAGTTAAACCTTTATACTTATTTTAGTTTTCTGTAAAGTTTTCTTAAAGTTTGAAGTTATTTTCTTAAAGTTTAAGTGTTTTATCTAAAATATCTAAAAATTTAACACTTGAACTAATTTTTAAAAATTAATAGTAAAATTAACATAGTTTTGGTTTAAGTGTTTAAGTGTTTTCTTTAAAGTTAAACTTTTATACTTATTTTAGTTTTCTTTAAAGTTTTCTTAAAGTTTGAAGTTATTTTCTTAAAGTTTAAGTGTTTTATCTAAAATATCTAAAAATTTAACACTTGAACTAATTTTTAAAAATTAATATTAAAATTAATATAGTTTTAGTTAAAATTATTATTGTTTTGTAAAAATGAGTCTAAGTGTTAAATCTATATAACGTGAAAACATATATACCGAACTTCGAACACCAAAGCTTACGGACCAACTAAGGACAGGATGCCTAGGCGCGGTTAGTTTTCGACGTGTTTAAAATTTAACACTTAAACTAATTTTAAATTTTTTTGATGAAGTTTTAGTTGAAAATAATATTTTCTTAATGTTTAATATTAAATTTGTTTTAAATTTTAGTTAAAATTATTATTATTTTGTTAGAAAAATAAAAAAAAATCCCTAAGAATAAAAAAATAATATAAAATCTGCTAATTATTTGAATTGAAAAAATAATGATGAGATAGAAACTGACCTTTTCTTATGGGCCGAAAATTGTTTCCGTTTTGTTGGGCTTTGTTGTGCTTTGATGATGTCATCCATCCAACGCCACCGACCGCTCTGCATCGCAAATCTCCACCGGCAACGCAAACGCCACCGACCGCTCTGCATCGCAAATCTCCACCGGCAACGCAAAAGCCACCTCTTCAATCTTCTTCTCTCTCTCTTTCTTCAATCCAATCCAAGCAGTGGAGGAAACGGAAGCAAAACCAATCCAATCAGACACGTTTCTTCGGTTCCTTTTGTTAGGCTTTGTCTTGCAAAAAGGCTTTGATGATGTGATCAATCCAACGCCACCTCTCTGCAACATGGCAAATCTCCACGGGAAGCGCAAAAGCCACCTCTGAAATCTTCTTCTCTCTCACCTCCGTCGTCGATTGCTTGTCCTCGCCGGATAGAAGCTCCGACATCAATAGATTTTTCTCACGATGCTTTGTTCAGTAAGGAATAAATCGGAAGTGGAGGAAACGGAAGCAAAACCAATCCAATCTGACACTTTTCTTCGGTTCCATCTCTGCGGCAGTGGAGGAAAACACCTTCCTAGGGTTCCACGAAGAGGAGAAGAGAAGAAGATTCAAAAATTTTAACTCGTGAGAGATTGTTGTAGCTTCACAACGGCTCTATTGATCGTGGAATATGTTTTATACTCTCTCTGTGAACCGACGTGACCAACTATGTGGGCTTAATAATGAATCAGCCCAATTACTTTTATAATTAACAACTAATAATGAATCAGCCCAATTTAATTAACACCCATCCATGTTCGTCTGCATGTTTCTTCCATCACAAGAAACTACTTTCTTCAACAGCATCACACATATTGGGTCAATGAGAATGTCCCCATAAGGCTGTCTTTGCTTCATTTTAGCATCAACGTTGAACAATGTTGTCTCTTGAAATAAACTTGTCCCCTTGTAAAGTAAGTAATCTTCCCGCAGTCGAGTTGGATGATAAACACACAGAGCTTCTTGGGTACAACTGTATCAGATTGTTTACAATAACTTAAGTTTATGCCTTGAGGCTTGGGAAGAGAACGATTTTGATCTTTATCGCAAATCTATTGGTGAAAAAGCTTTAACATACCTCCAAATTTGTCATCTCTTGTTATTATTACAAATGTTTTGGATGTCTCGCGCACCATTATGCCTTGTACACCAATGAAAGTTTTATACCATTTTTTATTCTTTTACAGAGAACAGAGACTAACAACGAGTACATAAGACCAAAAACTACAACAGAAACAACATTACAAGAAGAAAGCCACAAATAACGATAGCAAACCACCAGAAGTATCAAACTTTCGGGAAAGAGGACACAGAAGAACCAACGGTTTTGCCGCGATCCGAAGCCAGTCCTCAAAACCTCGGATCAAGCGGAGCTCACAGCTTTTCCGAGAGATCAAGCGTCTTTCACCTGCAAAAGAAACTCCAAATGCACTTTGCCACCACCTCACCAAATGAGTTACACCGGCGGCAAAGAAGAAACCCAAGTTGCAAAGAGAGAACCACAACTGATGACGACCCAGCCCCACTGCCACCAATGCACATAGCAGCTCCGAGCCACATCGAACCCGCCACAGTGAAGAACCACCGCAGCTTCACCGGAAAAGTAAGGAACCAACGGCATTACTGTCCGTCCTACATTGGCCTAAGTTCGATCAACAGAAGATGTTGGCTGATCATTGGTAGTGAGTTTCACACAAATTACTGGATTCAGCAAATTATTTGCCCTGTTTCAGAACAAGGCTGCACCATGTAAGCACAACATCAAACTAAAGTAATGTGGAAATGGTTTCAGCTCCAGGGACAACCTTAGCTGAAACTGCAACTGCGCAAGCATTGTTTTGTTTTGGTGATGCAGATGTCACGGTTGATTTTGTCTCTGAGGGTTGAACACTAGAGGCTGTTGATGGAGATGCAACTGCTGCATCTAAAGAACCCCCTTCAAAAGGCAAAACAGCATTAGAAGCACTAGAGGCAGGTTGTTCTGAGTTCTGTGATGCAAGTGCTGCTGTAAGGATACTTGCTGATGTTTTCCTGAAAATGAGAAATTTCTAAGGGATTAATAAGTAACATATGGAAACCATCAAACGAATATGTATAGAAGGATAAACTTCATAAGTGAGAGAGAAGCAGTTAACATGTACCTGGATATGAAGCCCCAGCCACGATTTCTCAAAACTGAAGGCAAGGTCTTCAGCAGCAATAAATCCTTCTGAAAAACGGAAGAAATAAAAAAAACACAACTTGAGCATGTTTGTTTGATTGTTACATGTAAATACTTAAATCTAAAATACATAGGGTCTTACCATTTTTGCAAACTAGTGTACCGCTGAATCCTATGGCAGCTATACAACGAACAGATGAATAAGGGTCTAGAAAGTGGTGAAAGGATCCATATTCTTTTTCAAATTCTTTCCTCTATAAAAATAAATAGAAAATAACTTTCATTACACACATGCCAGCTACAGAGATAAACTTATACATAGCACAGAAAATGATCAGAGGTGATTTCACCAAAATATTCCAAACAGGTTCGGCTCGATTGTTCATAAACCACTTTGCACTCTACCACAGAGGTACAAACTTCTCGAAAGCATTACTTCTTTTAGATGGTAGGACATATTAGTATAGCAAACATACTACGCATATCTACAGAACGCAGAATTCACTATAAAATCCAGAGTGCCAGCTTTACAACTAGTAGATCAGCTATCTTAAGTTCTCTCATAAAAGAAAGGATACATATTGCTGAGAAGTTTGTGGCGTCAAAACTTTGAAAGCGACTCTGCCACCTTTACGAGAAAACATAGAACAATGTTATGAATTTGTGTTTTCAAAATGTAACTAAGAAAGCAAATCATAGAGGAAGAGAATGCGTAAAGCATAAACAAGCAAAACCTACCCATGTATCAGTCCAAGTCAATCTATTCAACTTATCCGACTCTTCATCCACTCCTAAAATTTAAAAAGCAATAAATCCGGGAAAACTAAATTTAAAAAGCAATTGGAGGACACAAAACTAAAGAACTCCTATGCAAGTGCTTAAGTTTGAGAAAAGCTAAATTTATACTTTAAAAATGCTAAGAACCCCTCTTGAGGTTGTAACCATTGGAGATGGTCTCACGCTTGACATTAAGTATTTGCCACGTCAGAATTACAAAAGCCAAGAACACCTTCAAAAATTATGCTAATGACACTCAGTGTTGATAACTAGACAATGTGATAATAACGAATCCACCAAAATCTACCAGATATTAATAGCTAAAGACAAATCTAACTCACAAATCAAATTATCAAGAGATCTTCCAAATTACAGTGTTTGCTAAAGACAACACATAAATATGTAATAGCATCACTTCTTTAGGGTCGTGAATACTTCTTGAACACAGCCCGAAGATTGCTCCCACCAGAGGCTTCCGAATGTTTGGAAAATAGAAGCTTTGAGCATTCCCTGAAGTTACATATATAGAGAATTTACATAACACACAAAAATGATGATGATTAGCTTGAGAGAGAGAGAGAGAGAGAGAGAGAGAGAGAGAGAGAGAGAGAGAGAGAGAGAAGTAAACAACGTACATGAGCTGATTTTCAGAGTACTTGGTGAGGGATTCCAGAGCATCAGTCCAAGGAGGGCTCTTATCCAGACAACATCTCACAGTGTAGATTGCTGATGCAGCCCACAAAGAAGGATGGAACAGTGTAGTGTCAAGATGCACCATACCCAACTCAACTAAATAGTGAACCATGTTCTTCACCTGCACAGCACAAAACCAAACACAATTAAATGAAATTTCTCTCACATTTTGGATCCATGACAAGAACATTCATATGAAATGAGAGAACTCACTTCTCGGTCGGATCTTGAAGCTTTGATGAACTTCAGAAGATACTCATATTGTGTTTCGTTTCCCAAGTTATTTGCCAACTCTTGCAAACTGGTTTTCTCCATCTTTAGAATCTTCTTTTTGTTGCAGATGTTTATGCTGGAGAAACTGTTTGTGACAGACATCAGATAATCGACATCAACAGTCTCTGCGTCAAGGTCTTTCCACGCAGTGAGTAAAGCACCAACACCAAGATGATGTAGATCACTTGCAGGCAGAGGATGTCTAAGCAGGGAGTAATCGATTAGTTTGACTGTGAGATAGAGAATCTCAGGGGACAACTCGAGCTTCACATGAAGTGAAACAATAAAGTCGATGAGATTTGATCTCTTCTCCTCGTTTACATAGTAGTGATTTCTGTGAATATAGTGATGGACTCAGCCTAAACTTAATGCAATTTTGGATTAAGACATTGAACATTTAATAAAACAAAGCTCACTAACGTCACGGCTCTTCGGCTTCATGGAGACTATAAATATGTAGTTGACAACAGGAACCCTGGCAAAAGGGTTCATGTTTTTTGTTTGCTCAGAGAACCAAAACTCATATTTAGCTAATCCAGAAAGAGCTCAATATGTCCCGTTGTATACTTGTATTCCTTGTAAAACGTTTTCATAAAAGGGAGAAACAGAGCAAGCCTTCTTTATTCACCCTAAACAAGTAACGAACCAATGTTGGTTAGTTCGGTTTTCGTTTAAAAATCCGATTGCTTGAATTATATAACCTGAACCGTCGTCTTATATGTAGACTGCATCCGCTTCTTAGTGGGCTCAGAAAATATAAAAAGCCCATATTGGCTTATTAGGCCTTTTCTAAAACAACTCACTGAACCTAACCAGAAATAAATAACTGATTAAACCTAGTTCAGGGAGAAGCAGAGCCAGCTTTGAATGGCCAATCTGGTTTTGGACTAGACGTTTCTAATGTTTTCTATTAGATTAAACTTGAGATCATGAAAACATTTCATTAACATATATGTTAGTAATTAGAGGTTTATAATAGAGCAGTTTAGGTGGAAGCTTCAGTTTTAAAGTTGTTAGATTTTTTATTTTATTTTGAAAAATCAATTTTTTCGACTGAAAAATTTCATTATAAGAACGACAAGAGTTACAACATTAATAATATACATGTGATCATCACTGACATTTGTATTTAATTTGACATACCGTATCAAAATTATATATGGATATGCATGTGTACATATGTATGCATCGACCATCCAAATGTTGAACGATGATTGGATGATGGTCTAGTCTCTACTGTAATGAGAACAAAACGATTTGGACAAGAGAGTGGGAAAAGAGACAAATTTTGTCTCTATGAATTTATGAAGCAACATAACAGTAAATATTGCGAGGTCGGCTGCTTTTCTTCAAAAAAAAAAAAAAGAGTATATTTTATTTTATTTACAATCCATCAAAATTAAAATGCTTGTTTTTTTATTTCCACATTAAAATCAGCTTGTCGCAAATTGCGGAACATTGACACTTAAATTAAACTTAATGGCACAAGATTGACGAATTCTTTGAGCTAAGAAAATATCTTTGGACCGTTTATTTATTCTCTTAACCAAATATCCACATCTTCAATCACCATTTACACACTTAATCTTCTGATTATATAATCTAAGAACAACAGTTAGTTAGTTTTTTTTTTTTTTTTTGCTAAATTGTAAATATTTCATAGATATGAAAACAGTTTACGTTGCAATCAAAAAATTGAAAACCTATACATATGGTTTCAAGACAAAAAGAATAAAAAAAACTGTTAGGATAAACTTTTTATAGTGACATGCTCTGTAAGATGAGCGTGAATTGATTCATTAGGAGAAATGATTTACAACATATATAGTAATTAGACTAGGGTTTAAACTTATACTAATTACAATAAGAGCCTTAATATTTACAACTCCTTATACACCCCCTCAAGATGGAGGGAGTTCTTGCACTCCAATCTTGCAATTTAGTTCGGTGAAGCGTGACCGTGGAAGTGGTTTCGTCAATGCATCGGCGAGCTGATCCTTTGTTGAGACATGGGAGACACGTAGAGCACCGGATTGGATATAGCCACGAACGAAATGATAGTCAAGAGCGACATGTTTCATACGAGAGTGGAAGACCGGATTTGCACATAGATAAGTAGCACCGATGTTGTCACAATAGATGACTGGTGCAGTGGATAAAGGGATGCCCATTTCTGTTAAGAGATTGCATATCCAGCGCAGTTCCGCAGCCGTGTTAGCAACTGCACGATATTCCGCTTCCGTAGACGAGCGCGCCACACTTCGCTGTTTCTTCGAGGACCACGAAACAGGGCTGCCACCAAAGTAGACAATATATGCATTCGTGGAGAGATAAGCATCCGAATCACAACCCCAATCGGCATCCGAGAAAGCATGTATGGTAAGAGGAGTATCCGATCGAAGGAAGATCCCATGTGACTTGGTGCCCGCAAGATAACGTAAAATCCTCTTAGCCGCTTGCCAATGTTCATTCGTGGGACGATGCATAAACTGTGAAAGGCGATTCACTGCAAAGGCAATATCTGGTCGCGTAAAAGCGAGATATTGGAGACTACCGAGAACCGTTCTATACTCTGTTGCATCATCTAGGGCCGTGCCGGAGAGAAGAGAGAGCTTCGGAGTTGGGGACATCGGTGTGGAAACCGGCTTTGTGTCAAACATATTATGTTTCTGGAGTAGATCCGTTATATACTTGCGCTGCATCAAGTGTAAGCCTCGTCGGGTTCTGGTTGCTTCGATTCCCAAAAAATAGCTTAGGGCGCCGAGATCTTTAAGAGAAAACCGAGCTGCAAGTGAAACATTGAATGCTTTGACAAGAGCAGTATCTCCCGCGATTATAATATCGTCAACATATACCAAGACATATATGAAGGCATTGTTCCGATGATATATGAAGAGAGAGGCATCAGCGAGAGAATTTGCAAAACCAGCTTGAAGTAGGAAACTGCGAAGTTCTTGATACCAAGCCCGAGGCGCTTGTTTGAGGCCGTACAAAGCCTTGTTGAGGCGGCAGACATAATTCGGACGGTCACGATCAATAAAACCCGGAGGCTGAGATACATAGACTTCCTCCTTTAGTGTGCCTTGAAGGAATGCATTGTTGATGTCAACTTGATGAATGCTCCAATTTCGCTTAACAGCCACCTCGAGAACAAGACGTATAGTCGTGGACTTAATCACCGGACTGAAAGTCTCTGAATAGTCGACGCCATATTGTTGATTAAATCCTCGGGCAACAAGTCTCGCCTTGTACCTTGCAATTGAACCATCAACATTATACTTTAGTGTAAAAATCCACTTACAAGTAATAATATGTTGAGAAGTCACCGGTGGAACCAAATCCCAAGTGTGATTTTTGACTTGGGCATTGATTTCCTCAGACATAGCTTGTCTCCAATTTGGGTCTTTTAGAGCCTGTGCCACTGTTGTCGGTATCATCGGTTTTGAAGGTGTAGTAGAGGTGGTAAGGCTGAATTTTGTGTTTGGTTTTGTTATTTGATTTTTGGCTCTTGTTCTCATTGGATGGGTATTTTGTGGAGGTGGCGGAGGCTGAGGATTTGGTGGTAACGGTGGTGTGATTTCCGGTGATGGAGGCGTTGGTGATTTTGTGTGGTCGGAGGTAGACGTGTTTGATGTCGAGGAAGAAGATGGTGAGTGGGAATGGGTTAATGGGTTTGAGTTTGATTTATTTGGGCTTTGGCTTTGTGGGCTTTGGTTGGTATTTGTTTGGTTTGGGCTTGTTGGAGTTGGGCCAGAATTACTTACTTGGCCCGTGGAAGAGGAGATGTTTTCTTCTTCGTGAGCATTGTTCGTTGACGAGGACTGTGACACAGGCTCCGGTGAAGACTGCGGCTGGAGTGAGTGAGACGGTGTGGCTGGCGGCGAGTGAAGGACCGAGCACGGAGGAGGAGCAGGATGAGCTACTTGAGTGGGGCGCGGCAATAACGGGACAACATTGGTGGTGACCGGTGAAGGCTGTTGTGGTTCGGTAATCGACGTGGCGGGTTGTTTAGAGGCAAACGGAAAGCTGTTCTCCACAAATTGAACATGCCGGGAAGTGTAGACTCGACCAGTGGCTACTTCAAAACAAAGGTAAGCGCTTTGGGTAAGCGAATATCCAAGAAAAACACATGTGGTTGATCGGCTCTCCAACTTGTTGGTGTTATATGGTCGAATCCATGGATAACATAGGCAGCCAAATACCCGAAGCTTCAGATAATTTGGTGATTGTTGAAATAGCTTTGCGTAAGGAGAAAAACCGTTTAACACCTCCGTTGGCATTCGATTAATGAGATACACCGCAGCCGCAAATGCATAAGTCCAAAAACGTCTTGGTAAGGAAGCATGGCTAAGAAGCGCGAGACCGGTCTCAACGACGTGACGGTGTTTCCTTTCAGCGAGCCCATTATGTTCCGGCGTATGAGGCGGGCTCGTGAGATGAGAAATGCCATGAGCCGTTAAAAACGAACGTAGAGCCACGAACTCACCACCATTGTCTGAATATAGCGTACGTATACGGCTTTGAAACCGATTCTCCACCAACGCCTTGAATGCCACAAAGACTTCTTTCACTTGTGATTTTTGCTTCAACGGATACAACCACGTATACCTTGTAAAGTGATCAACAAGAACAAGATAATATTTGTAGTTGTCAATAGAAACGCACGGAGATGTCCAAACATCGGTATAAAGGTACTCAAGGGGCTGAGATGAGACAATGGTGTTTGTGTGAAAAGGTAATTTATGACTTTTATTGATGAAACAGTCCGAACATGGAAGCTGTTTGGGAATAGAATTTGAAAGAGGTAATTGAAATTGAGAAACAACAGCTTTTAAAATTGGTAAAGATGGATGCCCAAGACGGTAATGCCACGAAGAGAGGTCGGTTTTTGGTGATGGGGAAGCAGAGAGGATGGTAATGGGATTGAGGTTAACCGGCCACTCATATAGCTCATCCTTAGTTCGGCCTTGGAGTAATCGGGCCCCCGTGCTGAGATCCTTCACCTGAAAATGTGCAGGAAAGAATTCCACCGATACTTTGTTAGCATTACACATCCGATAAACCGAAATAAGATTCTTGCTAACATTAGGAACATATAAAATATCCTTAAGAGCAAGAGAGCGAGATGGTGTAGGGAGTAAAGCTGAACCAGTGTGTGAAATTGGAAGCCCAGAACCATCCGCTATGGTGACCTCTTCGCCACCGGTATAAGGCTGATGCATAGAGAGATTGGCCAAATCCGATGTAAGATGATGCGTAGCACCACTGTCAAGAATCCAAGGATTGTATGGTGGAGCGGTCGCAACATTTGCACGTGGTTGCCATGGTGCCATAGGTGAGGACGGGAAACCATTGTAGCTAGCTTGAGAACCACCGCCGCTACCATATCCTTGAAGCTGAAAGCATCTTCGCGCACTATGACCGTGTACACCGCAGATTTGGCACTTTCCTTGGTAACCTCTGCCTTGTGATCCACGGCCGTTGTTATTGCCACGAGAGTACTGCTGCTGCTGCTGCCACTGGTTGCCGCG